GCCATAGAATAAACTAGAAAATCTTCTATTTTTAAAGAGAGAAGCAATTTTAAATTGGATCCTGATTTACTAGGAAGCCAGTGGAATTGTATGCGCATATGATGAGTTAATAATATATGTTTTAACAGGTGAGAAGGCAGTCAGAACTGCATTCAATTTATACTGAGATTGTTGCGTATTCTTAAATTTAGATTTAACTGTTGTTTATGTGGTACGTGAGTCTGTTTAGGTTTTAAACTCAGTGTAAGTCTCCTCTTCTCCTGGCTTCTCATCTGAAGGGAAGGCAGACTTGAAGCCCAGGTTGTACTCTAAAGGGAGCATCCATATTCAGACTGGCAAAGATTCTGTCATTAGGCTCTAGCCATTAGAAACCAAAGGTGTACAAATGTTCAGACTTTTTCTCCCAGAGCAAAAATGGCCACTCTCATGGGGGGAGACCTGGAAACAATTAGGGATACATTGCTTCTGAGGCAGTTTCTCCTGGGAGACTGAATGTCTGTACACTTTCCTCTGGCTTAACTGCTCCTGGTCAAAACTGCCTTCTTCAGACCAGGGTACCCTGGTCCTGAAGAAGCTTTGTGGAGGCAGCTGCTCTTCCCATCCCATAAACCAGGAGAACTTTTCAGAATTGGAGCAGTACCCATTGCTTCCTGCCTCTTCCCCAAACTGGGCAGTCCCCAGTTTGTGGAAGAGGCAGAGGGCTTTGCCAGCTCCTGCTGGCTTCCACTTGCTGCCCTGCCACTCACCTGAGCAGCAGCGTGGCAGTTGAAAAGCTGGAAACTGGAAGCAGGTCTCAAAGACCCTGTTTTCACCTGCCAAAAATTAAATTGTCACTCCACTGCTCAGTTGGTTATGGGGGCATGGCGTGGTGTGAAAAGAGAGAGCCATGAGCCAAGCTGGAGAAAGCCTCTGCACTCCTGGATCCTGTCCCCTCGGACTTTTAAATTGCCATGCCAGCCACTCAGTTGCATGGCAGCGGGTTAGGCGAAGCTAGAGGGACTGGGAGCCATGTATACAGGACCTTTTCCACATCCCAGGTCCTGGTTTCCAGCTCCTGATCCCTCTAGCTTCCCCTTGCCACCTGCACTGCCCAGCTGACCTCAAGAGCATTGCCACTGCAGTGAAATGCCCATGCTTCTCCCCATGCTGCTGGAGGTCAGTCCAGAAAAGTGTGGAGCTGGGCAGATTGCTGTGTCCCCCAGCAGTGCTGTGGCAAAGAAGTTTTGCACCTGAGGCAAAGCCTGCAGCAGCAGCCCGCCCTTGCCCCGCACACTGATGGGGGCGGGGGGCATAAAGGGAGTACGCCCCCCCCATGCTTGCCCAGGAGTGCACACAGAGGTGGAAGCCACCCTCCCTTGACCCCGGGCCCCCCCAACCTAGCTGCTTGTGACTCTTTCCTCCACCCTGCCCTGGCTGGGCAGCACCTATTGGCACCCCTCCAGTTCAGCACCTGGGGCAGTTGCTCTACTTGCCCCTCTCCACCCCTTGCTACAGCACTGGTCCCTAGGAGCAGTCGTATTTTCCTGTGGCGGATAACTCGGAGGGTTCCCAGCACAGGAGAATGTCTCTCTCTTGCTAATCAGCTGGTTGGCAGGATTTGGGAGGTGGAGGGCATTCTCGTAGGGCTGGAGCCAACCCTGGCTGTCTGTGGGAGCTTCTGCTTTTCAGCAGCTGCCACTGCCACTTGACAGTCTGTCTCCTTCCGAAGCCAGGGTATAGTGCAGGCTATCAATTAATGGGCTTCTTTAAGGTCAGGGGTGGCCTAGGAAGCAGCTCTGTAGTGCTTGCTATCTCTCTGTCTTCTGGTGGAAATTAACATCTATACACAGCCTTAGCATGTGCTTTTTTCTGCTCTTGTGCTATATTTTCACTTTGGATTTCACCTATAATGAATAAAAAGCAAATGGAAATAGTCCTTCATAAGAAGCACACCATCAGGAAACCCCCTCACTCTACCAGTAAGCTAGAGAAACCTACTGAAATTGTTTGTATATCACATTTTATTAAATGTAAAAGGTCATGCATGCACCAAAGAACAATCTAGTTCAGCCCGTAAAATAAGCCTTGTGAGTCTTCCATTTCTTTTCAAATTAAACTGGCAGAGCCCAGTAAGACCCATGAGCCATGGAGCTTGATGAACCTCTCTGTATGTGGCATTCTCTGATTAGAATCAGCAGGCCAGTGCTGTCACTGCTGTGAGGAAGAGGTCTCCTTATATAGTAAATGTAATCTGAATCCCAGTGACATTCACGTGATTTTTTTTTTCAATTAAGTAACACAATTTTATCACAAAACAGACTACTCCCATATGTGGTTGCAGAATAAGGTGGAAAAAACATGTCCATTGGTGGTAAAACAACAAGTGTGACTGGAGGTATCCACTTGGGTGGTTAAATAAATGTCCTAGCTCCAGATATAATACTACATGAAAAGCTAAAATTTAATAGGAACATTCATATTGAGAGACTGTATTTCTCTCTATATATGCATATACATTTCAGGAAGCTTACTCATTAATAGTATTCATTTGGGTTTTTTGGTGTATTTTGGAATGCTTTTCCTGCCCCCAAAAAGCAATTCTTTCAGACTTATGCAACATTTTTGGTAGATTATTTGACACGCACTTAATTTTTTCTGTTGCTGATAGTGGTGGTGGTAGTTGTTATTTCCTTCCTGGGCAGGAAAGAAGCAGGTTATATCTGTATTTATAATAATTTCCATGCTGAATCTCTTTGACAGCCTCTCTCATACTGTTTTGAAGGAGCATGCTATCAGTGGGTGCTGAAAAGTTATTCATTTAAGTTTATGCAAACAACAAAGTAGAGAGATGCAGACAAAAGACATTTTAAATGGATGGCTCCGTGCCTCTCAAGCACTGGAAGAAGTTTACTGGGCAGGCAGCCCTGGACAGTATCCTTAAATTGTCTCTTGACATATCAGGGCAGTAGGAGGTTTACAGGATTGTTCCAAAGGAATTATGCTCAGTAGGATATGGAACACAAGATAAATAAGTATGTATCTAAGCCATCTACCAAAGTGCTTATTGAGAAAGCAAGAAAGGTGGCTAGACAAGAAGCCTTGCTGAGACTTAGGTGAATTCAGTTCTTGGCTCAGGCAACTATTGTGAGATCTTTCGTAATGGGGGTGGTACTTCTCTGCTTTACATGCATGTTAAGGATTAAATGTTTTAGTGATTGCAACAAGTATCAATGCTATGCTGATAAAGGCTGGATACAAGTCTGGCCACAGGCACAAGTGATATATCAAGAGAGAGAAATAGCTGAAATGAATGTTTAAAACATTGGCATAACGAGCTTGACAGAGAAAGAATGACATATTGATTCAGCACTAAGTAAGCAATATATATTCATCCTAGCCAGAATCTCACCCACTTGACACAAAATACAAGCAGCCATATGGGCTAGAAAACACAGTACTGGTTATATTCTTGCACCCATATCCATTTATTCCATTTATGTATCTATTCACTTCTTTTGGTGTCTCGCTTAACAGAGCATTTTGAGCAAAATCTCTATTTGACTTATGCCAACCCACGTTACAGACTCTTTCAAAAATGTCCATGCTCTTTATTTTCGGTTTCCTCCGCTGAGAATATTTATACTTCCCAGTTCATTCTGGAGGGCTGTTCCAAAGCTTATGCCTTAATTGGCTATTTGGTTTTTAGTATTCTTCAGCATTCACAAGCTTTTTTGAATCCCAGGATGTTTACGTAGGTGCATTCCGTAGGCAGCAACTCAGCACTTAAAGATACAATTCCAGTAAGAGAGGCTCAGATAGTGACTTTAATAATGACAGGAGAAACAGTTTCCAGAAAAACAATGTACATCAGAATAAATGCACCTGTAAGATCTTCTGAAGCTCTGGTTAAACAAAGCTTTTCAAACCTATTTATAAAAGCCTCATCTGGTAACTCCCAGTAATGTTACAAGATCATCACATTGTTTTCTTTCTCCTGCTCTTTATCACCCTGCTTCAATAGTGCTACATTTCCATTTTCATGTGCCATGATACTACAGGCTTGCACACACCCATCACTTTTACTGTAATAATAATAACAGCTTCATTAGCCTTTTGCCAGAGCCTTATTCACGCATTATTGCAACATCTCCCCCTAATCTGATCTGTAATCTAACTACCTTCCTTTTTCAATTGACTCCTCAGGACTCATCTCTTCTGCCACAGTGCCTTTAAGAAACCAGTCATTTAATTGTGTCTAGGGTGACAGTAGATGGAGCTAAGTGATTGTTGCTTTGTTTATAATAACTTTTAGAAAACTATAACAACCCTGCAAGACCCAGTATCGTAGCCAATGTGGTTAATCCAAGGCACAATTATTGCTAATTGAAAACTTTTCCTTCTCACTTTGTCTTCTTAGCAACAGGCCCTTTGAGGCCTAAATTGTGCCTTCATGTATGTTTGTGCAATAACTTGTGGAATTGAGACCTGATCCTAATTGGAGCCTTTGGGTATTACTGTAATTCAAATGTAATGGGATAATGATTACTAATTTTATTAACTGCCATGCATACCAGCTGCACCTGGGGTTCATAGTAAGATGACAGAATTTGACAAAAACTTCCTCCCTCTTCTGTTCTGTAGCTGCACATACTTTGCCACTCTCACCTTTTAACTTCCCATGCCCACCACCGTAACTCTCAGCATCAGCTGTCATCTTCACCCTGAACTTCTCACAGCTGTGTTTTGTCCACTATGCGCTACTTATTCAGATCACTCCTGAAAATTCACTGCCCTCTGAAGCCTGTAGGAGAAGCCTTATTCTTATTTATACCAAGGACTTTTTACACCATATGGACCATGGAAAGGGGCCTTACCAGGGAGATGGACCCAATTTGGCATAAAGTATAATGTAAATATAAATCAGGACCAAAAGGATTACTGTTAGTCCTTTGAGGTGGGTAAGGTACAAATTATAAAATTTAGTTTCTATTAAGATGGAATTCTGCTTTTTGGTGTTGTAGATAATACAGCCAGCATCCTGACCAGACGGAGAAGATTCAGTCGAACCACTCAAGATGTCTATTACCTCCCTATTTTGATTTCTGATACTGGAATCCCCTCTCTGAGCAGTAGCAGCACACTTACAATCAGGGTGTGTGCATGTGAGAGAGATGGACGTGTGCGGACCTGTCATGCTGAAGCTTTCCTCTCCTCAGCTGGTTTGAGCACGGGAGCTTTAATTGCAATTCTTCTCTGTGTCCTCATCCTTCTGGGTAAGCGGCTCTTAGTATTAAGTACCTACATCCTCTATATTCTCTATCCTTTAGAATGTGGCAATGGAGTGACATATAATGTGGTTTTGAACCAGGGATTGCTTTTGGTAATTAGAAATCAGACATACAAAGCTATGGTTATATTTTCTAAAAAAAATGGTTAGCTAAAATTAATAGGAAAAAATGTCTTCAAAGCAGATTCTTGAAAGATTAGAATCCTTAGACACAATTCTTTCAGAGGTCATGGAGTAATTACCAGTGCAGATCTCCTCAGGTAATTTGGAATATTTTCAGAAAGGCACTGCTTTAAGTACCATCTCTGGCACAGTTGGAAAAATGATAAAGAAGAAATGAAGGGAAAGCTTTTTGAAATGTATTACTCTGTAAGAAGCAGCATTCAACTGTATAAAAGCCACTTCTTAATTACCTTTGTGAAATGAACTGATAGCAATGCACAACGTAATCTGGAGGGTAAAGGACATATGAGACAGTAAGATGATTTAATTAGATAAATGCCCTTGGAAGTGCATTTTCTCTTGACATGTTATTTACTCAGGACAATTTTGATGTAACCAATTAGTTAAAATTATCTTTCAGCAGAGTTACAACCTGCTGTGTATAGAAACATCACTCTACTGTACGTTTGCTTTTTATGCATTCTAATGCAGAATGTTTGAAACAATGATGCTTGTTTCATGACCCACATGTTGTTTTTTTTAAAATCAATGGATTTCCCCTGAAAGCCTGTGTTCTTTTGACAAATTGACATAGCTCAGTGCAACCAATTCTGTCACATGTTAAGATGTAACTTTAAAATGTACAGATGTGGTTGATTTACATCAGAGGCATCCGAGTCATTGGGCCCTGCAGGATGGATGACCTACCTCTGGCACAGGGTAGCAGGGTCACAGCTTCTTGGTGCATTGGCATGTCTCTGGAACCCAGGGAGTGAATGCTTCTCCTACACCTGTTTCTTATTATATTTGCCATAGTTGCCCAAAGACCCTACATTCAGCAATGAGTAAGGGAGTGAGGAGTGGTTAGTAGCCAATAAAGCTGCATGTGACAAGAGGCCTTAAAGGGAAATGGAAATGTG